ACCCGGAGATACTTCAGCGGGAACCACCCATGGATTTGAAGCCAGCACAGATTCCACGCCTCGAGGGCGATCGTACCGACAAAGTGGAGGAGTTACTAGAGGATCTGCTGGAGAGAGACATGGTTCTGGGGTTGACTGAAGAGCTAAAGCGGAAAGTGAACCTTAGCATTGAAAGTGTACTCAGACGAATCAAAGAGCTTGAGAATATGACTGTTGAGCATAAGGTGAAGAGCATAGTAAAAACAAAATGTGAGCTGAAGGATGAGCTACAGTGGTTAATTCAACTGGAGGAGAGCTGGCAGAGAGAGGAACTCTGTGAACAGAGAAAACTGCAGCAAGAAAAACTACTGTATGAGGTAAAGAGTAAAGTTAAACAAGTTATGGATCTGAGGAAAAAGTTAAACGCCGAACTAGGGCACGAATCGATGTATGAGATAGTTTTTCTAGTACGTTTAAAGTGGGTACTGAATCTTGAGGTGGCGTTTATACGAGAATGTATGGCAGAGCTGGGGGAAAAACTGAGCTTGGAGGTGAAGCACTTGGAACCAAAGTTAAGGGAAGAAGTGGAATTGTTGCTTCAACGAGAGCGCGTGCCGGAGTATGAATTGATTGGAAGAAACCGAGGTCTACAAATTGATCAACCGGAGGTGAAGCTAAAACAAGGGCTGAAGTTGCCAGTTGATCGAGTTCATGAGTTGCAGAATAAGATAGCTTGTTTAGAGGAAATAAAGCGGATTTTGGAAACCGGACACCGGAGACAGGAGCTCGATCAAGAGGAGTCGAATTTGAAACAGAAGCTGGAGTTCCTACTTGAACGAGAGCGTGGGTCACGACATGAAATGCAGTACAGAGATTACCAGGTGCTGAAGTTTGTACTTGATCAAGAACGTCGGTGGAAGGGAGAGCTGCAGGAGCGTGAAGAGAACCCAGTTGCTTTTGTAAACCTTGAACAGGAGCTGGGGAGAGAATGGATAGCTGAGACCTGGAAAACGTGGACTTGGCTATCTAAATGTGAGCGTGGGCTGACTAGTACAGAATTTGCGTGGGTGAGAAACCGATTCCATGAGCTCAAACAACTTGAGGTAAATCTGACAGCTGAGGAGGAGCTTGAGAGCTTACTTATAAAAGAAGGAAGAATGTATGATGAACTGACCTCTGATAGGGTAACAGAGTTTGATCGGACGATGGAACGCATATTCCGTGATTTCGAACTGCCCCAAATATATCGAACAACTGAGGAGCTTGGGCACTTATTTGCATGCAGACAACTTTTCTCTTCACAGTTTTGGGAGGATTGGAGACTATGTTTGCCTGGAAGTAAACAAAGTGAAATAGAGGAATCGAAGAAGAAGAACCTTGAGACTTTACAAGAAAGGAAGCGAGAGCTTATGCATGAGATGGAGATGGAACTAAATAGAAAGAGAGACCATGAGGTCAAAGGTGCGCAATGTTGGACGGCATGGGTGGAGAATGAGCTTATGCCCAAAGGTA